TGGAGGTCTCACCATTTCAGCTTTCGCAAGTCACGAGCGTGTGGCAGGGCTATGGGCGTGTGACAATGTTGTGCGAGGATCTAGTTACGCGAGCGCCCAAGATCGTCATCTGCATCATCATCATCATCATCATCATCATCATCATCATCATCATCATCATCATCATCATCAGCATCAGCATCAGCATCAGCATCAGCATCAGCATCATCATCATCATCATCATCATCATCATCATCATCATCATCATCATCATCATAATCATAATCATCATCACCATCATCCTCCGCTGGGAAAATGGTGCGTTATCCCCCCCAAACCCCTAACTTTCTTATCCCCAGAGGTTTAATATCACGGGTAAAGGGTTAAAAAGATCGACCAAAAACCCAATAACCCAGGAACCCGGGAACCCCGCCGCCCACCGAAATCTATCCGGAACCAACAACCGGGAACCCGGGAACCCGGAACCGGTAACCGGGAACCCGGCCGCCTACCGAAATCGGCCCGGCACTTTCGCCAAATCTTTCAGTCTCCGCTAGGACCCCTTCAGTGCAAGCACTGATTGGGGAACCATCCACTGATTGAGGTTTCTCTCTGGTGTAATATTGTGTTATGTTGTTGTTTTCGAATGTTCGCCTACCCGCCTCTGGCGCTGCGCTGGTCCTCGAGACATAGAGACAGAGAGAGAGAGAGAGCGACGGAGAGAAGACAAAGCGAGAGAAAGAGAGAGAAAAGAGAGAGAGAGAGAGAGAGAGACGAGAGAAGAAGCGCAAACGAAAGGAACAATAGGTGAAAACCTCGAGAACCCTTCCGCAAACTGTGTTTGAGGGGGTGGAGATACAACCCTTACGGGGGGAGGCAAAATGGCACCAAGATGGCCCCAGGCGCCTTAAGCCAAAGAGAGCTCCAAGAGAGCTCCAAGAGAGCCCCAAGAGGGGCCAGAAGAGCTCCGAGACGGCCGCACTAGCGTCCCAAAGCGCCCGAGGAGCGCCCCAAAGAGCGTCACACGAGGGCCTCAAGAGACAAGGTGTCGGGCTCCGATTGAGGTGGGCAAATCCGCCAGCCCCCTTGTGGGGCCACCAGGCTGTAGGCCGAAGGTTCCAAAGTTTCTGTGCCAGTTGCAGCTTCCAATTTCCACTGTTACAGTTCCGCTTTTTGCTGCTTGCTGTTTCTTGTTGATGGACCGCGCGAGGGAGGGGGGGGGGGGCAAAAACGGGCAGGTTTAGAACGCCCTGAGCGTGTGCTCTGAATTGCTGGGGTGGGTAAAACATTGTCACCCCTCACGCAGATCGGCGGGGTCAGGGTCCAAAAACAAATGGGATTTGCCACATTTCTGAAATCCGGTGGCACCCCTCACGCAAATCGGCGGGGTCAGGGTCCGAAAACCCGGGGGATTCTCAACATTTCTGGAGTTCGGTGGCACCCCTCACGCGGATCGACAAGGTCAGGGTCCAAAAACACAGAGGATTAAATTCGGTGGCACCCCTCACGCAGATCGGAAAGGGTCAGGGTCCAATTTGCCTAACGAAGGACCCAACCATATGCAGGTGTGAATACACCGCAATTGTGATACACTTTTTCGGTGGGGTAACCGCATGCGGACTGCGCCACTGGGACCTTCGGTGGGGCTCCATATGTTGCCTCGAAACGTTGTACTGGGTGAGGGAGACGCATGCGACTGCGCCACGGGGACCTTCGGTGGAGTCCCCTATGGGGCCACGAAGCGTGTGAGGGGTGTGCCGAAATGAATGGCGGGGACGCATGCGGACTGTGCCACTGGGACCTTCGGCGGAGCTCCCATTGGGCCACGAAACGTGTGAGGGGTGGCCCGAAATGAGTGGCGGGGACGCATGCGGACTGTGCCACTGGGACCTTCGGCGGAGCTCCTGTGGGGCCACGAAGCGTGTGATGGGTGGCCCGAAATGAGCGGCGGGGACGCATGCGGACTGTGCCACTGGGACCTTCGGCGGAGCCCCTATGGAACCACGAAACGTGTGAGGGGTGGGCCGAAATGAGCGGCGGGGACGCATGCGGACTGTGTCACTGGGACCTTCGGCGGAACTCCTATGGGGCCGCGAAACGTGTGATGGGTGGGCCGAAATGAATGGCGGGGACGCATGCGGACTGTGACACTGAGACCTTCGGCGGCACTCCTATGGGGCCACGAAGCGTGTGAGGGGTGGGCCGAAATGAGCGGCGGGGACGCATGCGAACTGTGCCACTGGGACCTTCGGCGGAGCTCCTATGAGGCCACGAATCGTGTGAGGGGTGTGCCGAAATGAATGGCGGGGACGCATGCGGACTGTGCCACCGAAACCTTCGGCGGGGCCCCTATGGGGCCACGCAACGTTGAGGGGTGTGGCGACATGAATGGCGGGGACGCATGCGGACTGTGCCACTGGGACCTTCGGCGGAGCCCCTGTGGGGCCACGAAACGCTGTAATGGTAGGGGATACGCGTGCGGATTGCACCACGGGGACCGTCGGTGGGCTCCATCTGGGGCCACGAAACGCTGTACTGGGTGAGGGAAACGCATGCGGACCGCGCCAGGGGGATCTTCGGCGGAGCCCATATGGGGCCACGAAGCGCTGTACTGGGTGGGGGAGACGCATGCGGACTGCGCCACGGATACCTTCGGCGGAGCCCCATATGGGACCACGAAGCGCTGTACTGGGTGGGGGAGACGCATGTGGTACACACCACTGGGGCCTTAGGTGGACCTCCCTATGGGGCAACGAAACGCTGTACTGGGTGGGGGAGACGCATGTGGTACACACCACTGGGGCCTTAGGTGGGACTCCATATGGGGCCACGAAACGCTGTATTGGGTGGGGGAGACGCATGTGGTACACACCACTGGGGCCTTAGGTGGACCTCCCTATGGGGCCACGAAACGCTGTATTGGGTGGGGGAGACGGATGCGGTACACACCATTGGGGCCTTAGGTGGACCCCCCTATGGGGCAACGAAGCGCTGTACTGGGTGGGGGAGGCGCATGTGGTACACACCAGTGGGGCCTTGGGTGGACCTCCCTATGGGGCCACGAAGCGCTGTACTGGGTGGGGGAGACGCATGTGGTACACACCACTGTGTCCTTAGGTGGACCTCCCTATGGGGCCACGAATGTACTGGGTGGGGGAGACGCATGTGGTACACACCACTGGGGCCTTAGGTGGAGCGGACGCATGTGGTACACCCCGCTGGTGGGGGGGGGCACGGGAGGAGATGAGAGGAGGGGAGGAGGGAGAAGGAGGAGGAGGAGGAGAAGGAGGAGGAGACTCGGGGACCGTCTCTTCAAAACGAAGACCCAACAACACAGGTTGGCTGGGAAAACACAAGGGATTTACCACATTTCTGAAATTCGGTGGCACCCCTCACGCAGATCGACAGGGTCAGGGTCGGAAAACCCAAGGGATTCTCAACATTTCTGGAATTCGTCGCACCCCTCACGCAGATCCGTAAGGTCAGGGTCCAAAAACACATGTGATTTGCCACATTTCTGAAATTCGGTGGCACCCGTGATGCAGATCCGTAGGGTCAGTGTCGAACAACAAACAGGTCTCGACACTGCTTCACGGCGGCGCCCAGACCTCATGATTTAGCTCTTGCATCTCCCATTCTCCAAGAGAGGGGGCCGGCGGCATGGGGCGAAGCCCTTACGGATTAAAGCCAACCCAGTGGTTCAAAGCTAAAGCCATAGAAAACATAAAAACAAAAGCCAAGGCGTTTGAAGGATGATGGCCTCTCGGGGGCACCATTGGGAGGCTTTTGGTGCCAAAATAGCTTCAAGATGGCCCCAGGCGCCTCAAGAGGGCCTCCAGGATGTTGAGATATTGCCCACATAAATTGGCTCAAAATGGCCTCCAATATTTCTCAAGATCTCTTCACACGGCCTAGAGACTGCTCCAATTGGCCTCGGAGCCCCCTGAGGACACCCCCGAGGCCAAAATCATGAGAATCGGCTGGGAATGTTTCAATGCTGGTGGCCGTCTGGCCTTTTCGCTTCCGGTGGGCCTCTGAGAACTGAGCATGGCTCCAAGATCGCCCAAGAGAGCCCCCAAAAAGGGGCTCAGGAGAGCCCCAAAACGGCCCAGAGAGCGCACCCACAGAACCAAGGGAACCCAAGCGGACTCCAAGATATGATGCGTTATGCTCCGACGGGGCGACGCTACACGTCGGTCGGAAGAAGTTGGTAAAAACATGAAGTATGAAGGCGGATAACTAGATTGGGTTCAGACCCTCCCAGGACACAACGACACACAGCAAAAGCATATCAGTTATTGAAGTAAGAAGGCGCTGGAAGAATATTTGGATCTGAGAATGCAGAAATACCTAATTTCAACGACCGATGTGTAAATTGTAAGGACCTTCTAATGGATTGATCGATGGCGCCCTGGATTGGACTCGGAGGGACCCCAAGTCCCAAGGTCACCGAGAGAGCACGGGGAAGGTCCTAGGAGAGCCCCAGGAGACCCTGGGAGAACTCCCGAGGTATCTAAACTAGCCCCGAGAGGGCCTTAATCACAAGCTTCCAGCTAACGCCCACGTCGACAGATCCGCGATGGCATTACGGTTCACTGTAAATTGCGCCATGGGTAGGGCAACGCTCCCCGCAATCTACGAAATCGTCCGTTGCCGCATTGGGTGTGCCATTCCGCTTTGGGTTGCGCCACACATTACGCCATAGGTTCCGCGAGGCACCCCGTACTGTACCAAATCGAAACTTTGCCTGCTGTTGAACAATGACGCCATACATTGTGGCATAGGTTAAGCCCATCACCCCTTAATCTACCAACTCATCCGTTGTCTCAAACGGCGTTCCATTGCGCCAAAGGTTGCGCCGTACATTGTGCTGGGCACCTCACAATGTATCATATCGTCCGTTATCTAAATGGGTGTGCCGTTTGCCATTGGTTGCACCATAGGTTGCGCCAATGGCTGCGCCGGACATCCCGCGTTCAACCATATCGTCCGTTGTCTCAGTGGGTGTACCACACTCTGTCAACTACATGTTGCGACATAGGCGGCGACAAAACTTGAGGTAAACATCCCATATTCAACCAAACCGTCCGTTGCTTCAATGGATGTGCCGTGGTTGCGCCGCTGGTTGTACCAGACACACCGTGTTCAAACAAATCGAACGTTGCCTGTGTGTACATTCCTACATTATTCAGAGAACCCGTACAGCAAACGCTCCTCAGGGAAAGCGCAGGAGAAAGACGATGAAGACGAGTATGAGAAGCATGAGCAGCAGCGTGAGCAGTGAGGGTCCCGCCTGTCACCAGCACCCTCCTCGCTCGCAACCACATCCCGCAAGCTCCGCTCTCGCCCCTCTGTCCTCCGTCCTCCCCTCCCCATCTTCTCCTGTTCCCTCAGATTCGCAATCCCTCCCGCCCTTGCTTCCACCCCCCCCTCCCCGCCTCGCCCCGCACAATAACACCCAGCCCTGCCCGCCCTCCTGCCATGTCTCCATGTTTCTCCCTTCTCGCGCTCACACTCTAACGCCGCAGCACACAACGCCCCTGCTGCTACATCGAAATCTGAGCCAAAGCGCGCAGAGACGCTCATCCTCCCCTCCGCTTAGCCACCTCGCTCCGCCCCTGCGCTTCGCAGCATGGCGCCAAGCAACACCCAGGCTTCTCGCATCGCGCCCCGCAATGCGCGATGCGCCCGCTATCTGCTAAGACGAAGCCAGGACATCATATTGGGCGGAGGATAAATCGAGAATATTTGAGATACGGCGGCTCTGGATGTCTCGGGCGTCGCGGCCTTCTCAGAGCGTTCTGGAAAGCCCTGAGAGCGTTCCGGAGCGGCCTGGAACGGACTTGCCCTCGTCCGAGCCCCGCCAGATCTTCGCACCCCCGCGCCGCCCCCAGAGGGGCAACCCTCGCTGGTCCAGACGGCGCAGCGCGACGCGCGACGGCCTCTCCGCGCCCCGCAAGCGACCTGGCCCGGCTCCGCCTCCCCTCGACGGTGCGCCCGCCCAGGGGGGAGTGAGAGGGGTCGGGTGTTGCTGGAAGTGCCCCTGGCCCGAGGGGCCCCCAAGATTCCAAGGGGGCCCCCACGGTCTCCAGAGCACCCTTCAAGAGGCCCAGAGGGCCCCAGGGGCTCCAAAATTGAGCGGAAAGCTGGGGGGGTACCTTGGGCCAGGGGCACCTTCAGCAACTTCCGAAGGGGGCAGGATCAGTCAGCATGGAATCGAATCGGATCGGGCGGTCCGAATAGACATCGAATCGGATCGGTCGGATCGAAATTGACCCTGGGGGGCAGGCTTTCTGAGAAGCCCCCTGCGGCTTCGGGGAGGGCTCACAAGGCTTCTCAAAGACTGGTTGCCTTAGAAGGCCCGCCCCCCTCCCCTGAGATCCGACGTTGCGGAAAAAATGCAGCATCGTGAAAAATCGCAGCAGCAACCCTAGACCGCATGATCGACTGATCGACATGTGATGGCCCTGGGGCCCGACCCCGGGCGAAAACGGCCCGAGTGAAAAATCTGCGACGCCCGGCTCTGAGGGCTCCCTTTGGGCGACCCGCCGATTTCCGCTCCCTGTCGATGATCCTGAGGCCGCGTGCTGGCGCCAACGTGTGCTTGTCCCGCGAAGCCCTCCACTGGGACGCAGGCGGCGCAGTCAATAGAGGCCAACACGGGCTGCAAGCTATCGACGGAGCTCAACGTGGTAAACACACGGTGTGCCAACACAAGTCCTGAGAATCACCGGTCCTGGCCCCCCCGCCCCCAGCCTCCATCCGCTCCCCCACCAAGCCAGGTCAGCTGGGGCAACGTCACAAAGCCGGGCCCGCCACGAAGGAGCTCCAAAACGCGGGCCAGCGAAAGGCGGCTCCAAAACGCGGGGGGAGCGGGGTCTGCACCAGGCGGCTCCCCCGGCCGGGTCAGCCAGAGGATCTCGGAGGCGACTGGCTGACCCCTGTTAGCGCTGAGTCCTGCGACGCTCGACGAAGGCAGAATCGAAACAAAATCGGACCGATGTGGGTCGGAAATCCCTGAGAATCGGCGGGTTTGGAAGATGTCTCGGGCGCCGTGGCCGGTTCAGAGCGCTCCGGAACGCGCTGAGAGCGTCCCGGAACGCTCTGCAACCTTTCACAGTGAGGGGGCTGAACCGAACAATCATTCACTGTCCCTGGGTGCGTGGCTGAAGTGGAATTCCGCGATGCGGATTATTGTTGTTGTAGTTGTTGTTGTTATTGTCATTGTTCTTGATATTGTTGTTGTTGGTCTTATTGAACTCTTATCTCTGAAGAACAATTATTGTTGATCACCCCGTCCGGTGCACATTTGTTTGCTTGATTGAAGTGCCCTTCCCCGGGCTCGCACCCTGTTTTTCTATCAGGGAAACTCTTGAGGGTAAAACTGTGTCGTTCGCCCTCGGTTTACAACGACAACGGCTCCTTCTTGAGACTTCCTCACAATTTAGCCAGGACCCCCGCTCCCGCCCGAGACTTCCTCGCGTTTTATTCCGGAATCGCGCTCTCGCTTGGGACTTCCTTAGAATGTCCCGGCGCTCTTGAGTCGCGCTCTCGCTGGAGACTTGCTTGCAGTTTACTAGAGAATAGCGCCCCTGCGCTGGAATTGCTCAAGCGCCGCGCTCCCGACACCCAGGCACCCAGGAGTCGCGCTCACACGTAGGACTCGCTCACAGATTACATAGGAATCGGGATCTCGCTGCCCTTCGTGGCCCCGTTGCAGCCCTTCGTGGCCCCCTCGCTTTGTTTCGTGGCCCCGTAGCAGCCCCTCGTGGCCTCCTCGCTGTCCTTCGTGGCCGCGTTTCAGTCCTTCGTGGCCCCCTCGCTTTGTTTCGTGGCCCCGTTGCAGCCCTTCGTTGCCCCCTCGCTGCCCTTCGTGGCCCCGTCGCATCCCTTCGTGGCCCCGTTGCAGCCCTTTGTGGTCCCCTCGTTGCCCGTCGTGGCATCCCTTCGTGGCCCCCTCGCTGGCTTTCGTGGCCCCATATATGTATGCCCTTCGTGGTCCCCGCTCGTTCGCGCCCGTGGTGGCCCCATATGCATCTGTCCTACGTGGCCCAGTTGCTACCGTGGCCCCATCGTTGCCTTCTGTGGCCCCGCATTATCTGCCCTTCGTGGCCCCCGCTCCTTCGCGCTCTTCGTGGCCCCATACGCATTCCTTCGTGTCCCGGCTGTTGCCCTTCGTGGCCTACTTCGTGTCCTTGTGGCCCTGCTGTCGTTCTCTTTCGCTCTCGCTTTCGCTCGTCGTCGTCGTCGTCGTCGCCGTCGTCGTCGCCGCCGTCGTCGCCGCCGTCGTCGCCGTCGCCGTCGTCGTCGTCGTCGTCGTCGTCGTCGTCGTCGTCGTCGTCGTCGTCGTCGTCGTCGTCGACGTCGACGTCGTCGTCGTCGTCGTCGTCGTCGTCGTCGTCGTCGTCGTCGTCGTCATGGTCGGTCCCCTGTCCGTCCCTCCTGGGTCGGGTCGACGGTCCGCGGCCGCCCCGCCGATCAGCGCTGCCGCTGGCCAGGCCGACGGTCCGCGGCTGCCCCGCCGCTTGCCGGGGCCCGGACTGCACGGAAGAAAGGTATACCCCCCAAAAAGGATTCGATCGAAAACGAAGAGGGCATCGAGGGTTTGGGAAATCCGCCGATCCGGCGTGTGACTTTAAGAAAGCTACAACTTGAGCTTCAGCTCTGCTGGGGGGCCGGGGTGGCTCTGCCGGGGGGGGGGAGGGGGGGGGAGGTCATCGGGTCCACCCTTTCTTCCCCCCCCCCGGGAATCCCAAACCGCCCCAAGACGGGCCAAAAGGGGCCCAGGAGGCCACCAAGACGGTCCAGGAGGCGCCCGAAACGGCCCAAGAGCGCTCCTGGACGCCCAAGATGGCCTGAAGACGGCCCAAGAGGCCTCCAAGACGCCCCAAGGAGATCCCAAGAAGACCCCAAGAGGGCCCCAAGAGGGTACAATAATAAAGTTGTTAATAGGTTCTGAAGCATTTTCACATGATCGCCTTTTCCGTCTTAGAAGCGCCGAAGACGGTCCAAGAGGCCCCCAATATCGCCCCAAGACAGCCCAAGAGGCCCCCAAGAGGAGCCAAGACGGTCCAAGAGGGCCCCAATATAGCCCTGGAGGGCCCCCAAGACGACCCCGAGAGGCCCCCAAAATGGACTCAAGAGGGTGAACCCGAACGGGCCCTTCTAGTCCTCCACCCCAAGATGACCCCAAGAGCCTCCAAGACGCACCCGAGGCGCCCCCAAGGGGCCCCCAGAGGCCCCCAAGGGGCCCCCAAGAGGCCCCCATGAGGACCCCGAGAGGCCCCCAAGAGGCCCCCAAAAGGCCCCAAAAAGGCACCCAAGAAGCCCCAAGAAGCAAGAGGCCCCAAGAGGCGCTCACTCGCGCGCTGCCAGGCCAGAGGTGCACGAGTCTTTCCTCTGAGAATCGGGGTACGCTGACAAAGGAATTAAGATCTCATGTTCGCTCTGCCCAGGGAGAGAGGGGACGGGATGAGACATTGATAAGACAAGTATCCGCTAAGCAAGACTACACTAATAGGAATGTGAAGGGAGGACGCCGGCCGGAGACGGACGACGACGAGCCGCCCGCGCACCCAGGCGCGCTCCTTTTCTCTCCTGCAAGCCAAGGTTGGCTTGCTCGAGCAGTCATACAGCTGCGGAGCGCAGCTGTCAGTTCCAGCGGACAGTGCGATGCATGCAAACTACTAAGTTATGTCTTAATTGATTATGAGGCGGAGAGGAGCTCATTTACTCCCCCCGCGGCGGGCCGCGTAGAGTCCATCCAGCCACAGCACCCCCGGCCTGTGCATTTGCACAACTACCGGAGCCAACCCGAAAAAAGCTTTTACAGCTCAACTGCGACTGCCAGGGGGCCAAGGGCCGAAGAGGCTCGACGTTCCCCACCATTGTGATGCATAAATTCTCCCCGCTGGACCGGCTTAGCCGACCAGCAGAGGTGTCCGCGTCCAACGCGCGTTACGCGCGTGCGTAAATTGTTTTGCATGCGCCTGCCGCGACTGAGTCACGCGGGTGAAACTCAGTTCAGGTCCTTCCACGGGTTGTGCTCGTTCTCTCGTCTGGGCGGCGCCGGAGGCG